TTTTATAAGAATAAAGTACATTTCGTGGATACACTTTCACGAAGAACCTATTTCTGGGATACCGCAGTCCCATGTGGATCAGAAAACAGCCACAATGTAGTACAACTAAACCCTGATGAAAATAAATATTATCTTCTCACTCCATATCCCACATTAATGCAATCACTCAAAAAATTTTCACCAGAAAGCATTCGCGCTATTGCTCGAAACCCAAATATAGACTTACAATCAATAGGAATCTATTCAAAATCAGATATTCAACATCACATTAGAACACAACAATTCCAAGAATTATTAACACAAATGGACACTATACAAAGACAATCAATAGACCAAAATTTACGCAAACTTGCAGAAACCGCAGGATTTGCCGATATCTACACGCAAGACTATAGCGGATATTTTAAAGACATTAAAGATTATATATATCTAAACGGTGAAAAATACCGTCCCCAAGATATATCACCAATTAACATTTTTAGCTTTGTTACACTCAAAAATGAGATCCTCGATTTTCTAGGATGGCCCTACTACATCTTAGAAAAATTGACTATTTTATACGCAATGTTTAACTTTATTGGATTTCTTTTCTCACTTTTAAAAGGAATCTACAACACATGTGCTATACACACACAAGTAAACAGACAAGCAAGCGTAGCACGCATACTCTTTGCAGGATTTTTTGGAATCTTTTCTACATCTATAAACAAAATTCTTTTAGACGCACAAATAAAAGAATATAACACAAAAATAACAACACGACAAAATACATACGACGAAGAACATAACAATGTAGACATAACGCCAACGGCACCACAATTACCAACCCTACCAAATAACCATCCACTATCCCTAGTCCCACGAAATTTTCGAAATTTAGCCATCACACATAATCCAAATTTTCGACTCACCACATCACAAAGTCCCATCCAACATATAATGACACACCAGTCACAAGATGATAATACTTATGAACAAATTATTGAACAACCCCATACCACCGCTTTTCAGTCTCAAAATAATCATTTTTTTAGCCCACGATGAGCCGCCAACTTGGATCACTACACCGATCAAATTCCCACCCAACCAATCTTACCTCTCCAATCCCAATAATACCACTTTTTGCTTTTCCGCCACCCGATTTTTCACCTAGTAATGTAACATCAGGCATGAATTCCGACACTAATTCACACATCTCAGTTTTATATTCCATCTCACAACTCAATAACCCGAATATTGAAACCCCCGATGAATTCGCCGACTCAGAACCATCCCCATCCAATAATTTTCATAACTCTTCTAATTTTTCTCAACCCCCTTTTCAACCCATATTATCCAATAACCCTGACCCAATCACTCCCACACCCTCTTATGCTTCCCAAGTTACCCCAACCTACTCCTCATACCATTCTGACCAATCATCTCATTCTCCAGACACCCCCCGAATCTCCCCAGAGCTAGATAATTTTATTACCCTTCAACAACAACCCTACCACCTTAATACCCCAACCATAAACCAAATCTCCTCCACAATAAATTCATCCAACCCCCCTACCCCTACACCCTCTTCAAATTATACTGAATCATTAGCACCATCATCCACATCAACTGAATCTTCACTCAACACTAATAGAGCTTACCGCACTTTTAAAAGAAAGTTCCCCAACCATCCTTTCCCAGCAAAACCAGGAACAGCCCGTGAATACATCAACCACCCCAAGCATACTAACACAAAAGAATTTTTAGCCATCACCTTACCCTCATTCCCACAATACACCTTAAACACCCCCCACGACGCTAACGAAACACGCAACTTTGTAGATGAATACGTTTTAATGCCCACTCTCTCTTGGACCTCATATTATCATTTTACTAACCCTCTTTGCTTACCTTTATCTAACACTCACATCGATATAGAGCGAAATACGGACATGCTATATCGACTCACTACACCACTAACCGCTAGACAATTTACTTACGTTGGATATAAAAAATCACTAAAAACACACACTGCACCTAGAGCTAACGAATATACACTCGAATACTATGATCACAACATCATCAGAGCTAACCAAGATCAATTCTTAGACGACGATCGCTTCGCTAATCCACAAATTACCGAGAAATTTTTCATCAAGACACCATATATATTTACACTAAACATCTTCGACCGAAAGTTTGATCACATTATTTCAGAAGCACTAACAGACACACAAGCATACGAAAGTTTTAAAGAACGCTTCCAAATATTTTCACTAACCTTTCATTTCCTTGCACCACACGAAAGAGATTTACACTGCTCACACGATATTATGTTGCGCACTAAACAAACCCACACATATAGTTATTATCGCTTCATCCAAAATCACTTTGACCTACACACACCCTCTAGACAACCACACCATCGTTTTCAATTCATTAATTCCAAATACACTTCACCATTTTTCCTAAATTTCACATATTGCATTAAAGACACTAACCTCCATGGTATTCTTCGTAATTATGACCCCATAACCCAAATGTACATCTTCTGTCCCATCACCAAGACCTTCAACGCCGAAGAATCCCGACCCCTCCTTATCCCGCACGAGTTTGTACAACCTATAGAAATCCCAATTTTAGAATTCATCCACAACACTAAATTCAATCACAAATTATATAATCTAATCCAAAACACACCTTATGAGTTTGCAGTTGGCACTGAAGAACTAACCACTATTAAGGCACTTCAATTGCTTTGGCCACTGCTTCAGACTAAAAATATCATCCGCATCTTAGCTAAACTACTAACAACTTCAGAACTAATTCACGACATCTTCCCCCACGGTTTTTTCCCCGACGACTAACAGGTAAGTATGAATTAAATGAATATTACTAACTAATTAAAATATTAAAAACTTACCATACTTTATTCATGTTTTCTTTAGATTTTTAGCCTTCATCCGACGATCACCTACAAAAACCACAAAAGACAAATAAAAATCGCAATTTTCATCAAACAGATTTCAAAAATTCTATTAATCTCTTACACTTATAAATTTATAAATTTAATACCAATGCAGTAACTTCATTTCTAAAATTTTCCCCCACAAGCAGTAAATCTAATTATAATGAAAATTTGTATCTTAAAATTCCCCCATAACTAGCAGTAAATTTCCAAATTCTATGCAGTAAATTAATAAAATGCAAATGCAGTACTAACCTTTTGATATTCTCATTCATTCGCACAGAAATTCTATCCACACTCGCACAGCTCGCCCACGAAGAATTGTTTAAAATAATGAATTTCAGTTTCAAGTTTTCACACTCAACAACTCTAACATATAATAACATGTTTCAAACTTTCCTTTAACCCGGTTGGAAAGGAATCATATATTAAACAAAACTAACCAACGCAGCTTACTAAATACCACAAATCATAGAATAACAGCATGACTAAGAAAAGGAAACCAACGGTACCCAAACCGGATTAACCCAGTTTAAAACTGGATAATTTATTCTTTTGAAGACTATTATAAAGTCTAAGAAAGAAATAATAAAACACAAAAAAGTCGAAAGACAAACCCATACCACAAACAATTTGATTTTTGAAAAAAGGACACAACCAACAAAACATAAGAAAAACCACAACAAACCCAACATAAAACGTTGTCACATAACAGGACCCCTCACAAAAACCGCATGAAATCATACTCCCACTCCTGGCCTAACCCACCAGGAAGGACGTCCTGAGCATGCTCTATAGCCGGCCTAACCCACCGCGCTACATCCACGCTTTGTGACCACACCTTTATTTTTAATAAGAGCTACTCAAGTGTGAGTAACTCTTCAAAATAACCGAACTAAAACAAAAAGCTTTTGTGAAAACAACTAACTAAAATCATAATTAAAAAATATTAAACTAATAAATGTTTTATAAAATGTAAATTACATTTATGCAATACATAGATCAGAATACAACACCAAGGACGAACATCTAAAGACAAAACGACCCCACTACGCTCGAGAGAGAATGACCAACCACAATCGATATGCCACTCACAATCACAACTCAAAGGATTTAGAGTACGACTTGACTTCGCAGAAAAGGACTTCATTGAACTAGACCAATGACCACCTCGATGTTCAAGTATACGTACAGATCCGAGTAACCAGGCATCCCCTCCACGCACAATCTCCACGCCATTCCCAAACTAAATCAGACACAGAAAAGTTCTCCACGCAGAACAGAAAAACCTGACATAGCCAACCATTCTGAAATCAGATTTGAGTTTGTTGCGAAGACTTAGTCGTTGTCACTAGAAGACACAACGTCTTATGTCTCTAACTCCAGCTTCCTGGATCTTCTTTAACAAAAAGGAAACAGAAGAAGTAAGATGTTCGCCAAACACCAACGTCCATCATCCATCCTTCGAATTGCAGAAGAACTATTCTAAAAAACTCTGTAAAACCCGGATGGGTGGAACCTGATCTAAACTACATTTTATGATTGGATAAATTAAATGTTTTACCAATGTAAAGTATTTAATATTAACCAATCATGATCCATCTAACTAACAACCCACTTATTTGTAAGTGCTGAAGTTACTTGTAATTTCAGCACCAGAGAGATTTGAATTTAACTTAGAAATTAGTTGGACTCTCCCGAGCACTTCAGCAGCCGCAATAAACCAGTATACCCTAGATCTATTGAGCCTAGCAGAGACTAGTTAAACAACCTGAGACTAGATAGTATAAGAGTAAGATTAGGATCGGTATTAGACTAAGAAGTTGCACGAATCTATCCGGCCGAAAATAAGATAGCGTGACGAGCAGACGGTGTACCCTATCCGAAATTACTCTATGAGTTAACCACATCGGTTCTAACTCACAATCGAAAGAAATACGCGATGAAATCAGTCAGCTTTGGACAGTTTAAAGGGCGCTGATTGGTTGAGAGTTTTCGCGTATTCGGTCCTTTGAGAATGAGAATATATCCCCCAACCCAGATGGTGACTGACCATATTTCCGTTTGGATATGTCTGCAGGCACTGGGACATCGTAAGCCCCCGGACCAACAATCTCAGTAGTGCCTGGCTTCACCTGAGACACTATACGGGGAGCTCTGTCATACATCACGATCCAGAACTACACTAACTAATAATTTTTGAAAATTGACAATTATTTAAAGTAAAAACTATGCTAGCTAAATTTTACAATTTTTTGGGATCAATTTAAAAGTGAACAGTTATCTAAGAACCGCAAATAACCAGATAATCTTGAATAAATTTGTATCGGTACACAGAAAATACGTTAAAATGCAATAACTTGAATAGATCACAAAGGCAAAACTGACTTTTTAAATTGCAATCCTGAATTTATGGTATTATTTGAACTCGACCTTTTTTCCACTATGGTTTGATTTTGTAATCTTGTTTACCACAATACAGTTAACAGTTGGAGCGTTTTTAAACGCGAAAAGCGCACGTGTTTCGTTTGAAAAGCGGTTGGATTTGTTTGATGGTAAAAATCTGTTTAGATGTGTATGAATAGATTAAAACAACAAAAAACGTGCAGATTATTTAGCCGGTGCTTGATTATATCTGCTGCGAATAAAAAAGATCTTTTGTGACGAATTCTGATTTCGCAAAAGAATTACAGCATGACTGCGGTTTTTGATTCATTTTTTTCTCCTGTGTAAATTATCATTAAAGGGTCGAATCAAGAGTAAGCGTTGAAAAATTAGAAGGTGGTTCCGTCCCCGAGCTACTCGGTGGCGTCCCTTTTGAGGGAAAGACCAAATGACGGAAAAATAGGTACTACAATGATAGTTTGGTAGTTAAATTAACAGGATCTCTTGACGTAAACAAGTTTAGAGCTCGCAAATGGTTAATTGATAAGTATGTGACCATTCAGAAATGGTGGTGTGTCACAAAGCCGAACACCCAAATAGCCGTAAAACAACTCGTTCCAGGATAACCGGTAAACAAACTTCGAATGAATCCGGTCTGAGTTAAAAATGAATCAACGAAAAATATTAACTCCTTCTGTCATAAATAATAAAGAAAAACTTTTTTACATTGTAGCCACTTGTAGCTCAATAGGTGTTAGATAGGAACCAGGACGTTTTCTCTAGACACAAGGCGGACTTGGGGTGTTGTAACTTTGTTGAACATCAAAATAGAGCTAGAGGAGTCGGCGGTACCGCACAATGAGGGTCGAGGCTCATGGCAGCTCTCAAATAGGATGCAAGTAGGAAAGAAACCGAAACATTACTGGAGTAAGAAATGATAGAACCATTTAACTCACCGTGGGCGTCCGGAGTAGTGATGGCTAAGAAGAAAGAAGATCAATTGAGATTCTGCTTGACTTCGATATCTGAACTCCGTGACGTTGAAACATGCCTATCTCATCGCGAGAATAGGCGAAAGTATTTCAAAAATGTGGGATGATCTAGATTGAGCATTTTGGCAAGTACCCCTTAGGAAACAAGAAAACCGTGGGCGTGTGTAGTAGTGATGGCTAAGAAAAAGGGACCAACCAAGGTATTGTTGTGACTTTCGGTATCTGAACTCCGTCACGGCTGCCGATTGATGAGAGGCTGCCGAATTTTGAGAGGCTGCTGAATGATGAGAGGCTGCCGATTGATTAGAGCCTCTCGAAACTAGGAGATGCAAAATTTTTTACATTTCTTGATTTAGGGTCGGCTTTTTGGCAGATACCACTGAGGAAAAAGGACAAGGACAAGACAGGATTTGCTTGAAAACTGGAACTGTTTCAATAGAAAAGGATGCCTTTTGGCCTGTGCAATGCGACAGCTACATTCCAGAGACTGGCGTCACAACCACTAACAACGGTGACAAAGAAGTATGGCAACTTGGTCATGTGTTACGTGTACGACGTAGTAATAGCAACGCCAACTCTGCATGAAGTGTTTATATGCATGAAAATGGCAGGACTGAAGTGCAAGCCGTCGAAATGCCAAATGATGAAGGACTCAATAAAATACTTTGGGAGAATAGTGGTGTGTAATGGCGAATAACAAAGTGTACCCGATGCAACAACTCATGAGACACAAGGGCAAGAAGTTTACTGCAATAGCGCAGCAGGAGAGTCCTTTCAAAAATAAAATTGTGAAGCTCCGATATTGGGCATAGTTGTGTGAAGCTCCGGTGTTAGGCATGCCATGAGAGAATGGCATGTATGTCCTGAATACAGACGCATCAGTAGTCTTGAATTCTGGAATACTGCATCAGGAGAAGGAGTGGAATGCCAAGACCGTCTTTAGACCAATAGCGTGGGGAAGCAAAGTCTTGAGCTACACGGAGATGGAGGACAGGGCGCTCAAGGAGGAGATTTTTGCGGTAGTAACTTTTGTGGAAAAAAAACAGAGCCTATCTGGGCAGCGAGCCATTCAAGTTACTGAAGGATAAGAGAATTTTGTCCTGGTTGAAGACGTACTCAATGGATCAAAGCTTTATAGGGAGATGGATCGTACGTCTAGATGGTTACAACATGATGATTGTGCACAGAACCAGATACAAGCATCAGAAAGCAGACAGCTTGAGCAAAAAGACGGAGTTCTAGGAGAGACAAGAGGAGAGGGAAGCTGACAGACGTGAAATTAAAGAAGTTTTTTCTTTTTTGGAAAGAAGACTTATGACAGTCTGCCTCTTACAAAATCGCTCGATAAATCAGGGTAACCAATAGAAGATTGTCCAAATTTACCTGCCGATGACCAGAAGACAAGAATCAGTCGGCAATGCCTACGGAGTACTAAAACCGAAACAAGTTAGGCAGTCGTTAAAGGCAAAAGGTTATGGCCTGAATAATGACGAGAAAGGAAAAACAGCGGTGAAGCATGATCTGATGAAACTGTTGCAGAAGCTGGCGAAAAACATCTACATGGATTCGAGTAGGACTAACAATGAGCCGGAGATCTTGATACTGAAAAATCCGAAGTTGGATACGGGTGGAGATAGATAGTCAGAAGACAATGAATCTGAAAATAAATAAGTGGTTCGATTATTAGTCGAGAAAAATTCCTGAAGAGATCCTCACGCAGATCACACTGAGAACTAAGAGAGTGTTTTTCGAGAAAGACGCTGAAGAGCTTGGAGCAGATCAAAGTCCCGGGAGTGGATGATGCATGCGAAGAAGAGTGAAGGACACAATTCGTCCGGGGAGTCAAAAATGGCTGACGAAATCTCCACCAAGAGTGAAGATGAGTCAGACAGCCTGTGCATGAAGCTGAGGAACCAGGACGGAGAGATTTACATGGATTTCTCGTCCGGAACGTACAACTTAGACTCTAATGATGGAAGTGGGTGAGAGGAGCTGGAGATAATAGCGGTTTCAAGGAAAACCTCCAGGCAGTTATTATGCAATCCGAACATAAGGAAGAATGTAGAGCCCGAGAGCAACGGTGGAATCTTGAGCAAGATTAGATGTGTAAAGTTACAAGATGACATCCACAACCCGTGGGATATGACAGGACAAAGTATGGCATTAAAAAAAACAAGTGAAGGCAATGTATAGACCATCGGACCTGATTAGGGCACAGAAAAACTACAAAATGACAAGCAATCTCTTCAAATGGATAACAACAGGGGAAAAAGAAAAAGGTGATCTCGAGAAAATTAGCTGTAAAATCTTGAGCCAGTTCTACAAGGAACGGAGGGATCAACTCTACCACACGGCGAACGGTGTAGTGGCCTGCAAGAGGAAGTATGAAGAAAAAATCCTGCGCAAGCAAACCTCATCATACTACCGCAGCTGTATCAATCACAGGTGCTGCTTTAATGGGGTATCAGGGTACAGACAAGGTGCAACAGAAAAAACTTCTTCGGTTTGATTGGCCGGGAATGAGGAAGGCTTGCAAAAGGTGGATCAATGCTTACTTGTCGTGCCTGCAGGTAAAAAATCCCAGAAAAATGAAATCACGGGTACAACCAGATCCCAGTGATCATAGATCATTTCACGAAACTAGCGGAAGCGGTACCGTGTCAAACAGACTTGGCAGAGGAAACTTGTGATCAACTAATCAAGCATTGGATCTCAAGATACGATTGCCCCATGACCTTTGAATCGGTCAATGGGAAGACTTTCGTCGGGGATCTGACAAAAAAATTGACGAAGAGATCTCACATCGCTCAAGGACACTCGACAACCTATCATCCACAGACGAATGAATTGTTGGAAAGGCAGAACACGTCACTAGCAAACATGCTGAAGGTATACTGCTCTAGGTAAATGAGTGAATAGGATGAGTATTTGCCTCAAGTAGTGGGCTCGTATAACAGAACGCAACACAAAACATCGGGGATCAACCCCTTCATGATGCCATTGACGTTCAAAGAACAATGCCATTGACTTTCTTTTATCCAAAATACGAGGGATAGAAGACTTTACCTCAGGCTTACCTGAGAGAGGCAGTGAAGAGACAACAGGATTGAACGATCTGTGCAGACGCAAAACAGCTCAAGCACAGATGAGACAACGCAACAAGTATGACGAAAGGATACTACAAGCGAAGCCATATACGTGGTACAAAACCTAGGGGTGTTTCAGATTGTCATACCGCCAAAGGCGACCAAAAACTTGTCGAAAAAATGGAGAGCACCTTTCATGATAACAGAAATACATCAACAGAGTAGGTTCTATTGCTTGAGTACAGGACGCGCCACGCATTACAAAATGTGAAGACTCTTGTTCAAGCCCATGACGATGGATACGTGGAGGGTAGGAGGCAAGAAAACTTGCATGACTTACAATAGATTTGAAGACGATTTCTTGATAGACAAAATAAAGCCAGATGAGATCGGAGATTAGATGAGATGGTGTGCTTAGGTGAGCTAGTTCTGGACCAAGAGTGGCAGATTATCAATGATGATGATTCGTTCTGGGAGAAGGATCTTGGTGTGCGAGAGCGGGAGTTGGATCTGGAACATTGCGAAACAGAAAAGAGAGAACATACGAACTTGAGGATTCTGGAATGATGTATAACCTGTCGACAAGTGAGCAAGAGGTAAAAACCAAGCAAGAGGTCGACGTATCTGCAACGAAGTACATCAAAGAGATAGATCCCTCATTTGGCTGGATAGCGACGGAGCGACACCTGGACATACCCTCAAGTAATCTAGAGTGAGCACCATCGACAGGGACGTTGATAAACATTTTTGTCCGGGGAGTGGTAGTAGGACTTGCTCGAAATTTTAAAGATTAAGAAGCTCAAGGAGACAAGGGAAACCACTAGATTGGTGATGGAACAAGAGGAAGCCAAGCCCGCTTTTGGAAAAAAAATTCCAGACGAAGTTCACAATACAGTACGAGTACTCGGAAAGCAGCTTGATCACAGACAGCAATTTTATCTTGTCAGACATAACCAGTGCAATCGGCATAACCGCGGAAACGAGCCTAAAGACCTGGCTAGAAGTTGATATCAAAAGAGAATACCAGAATGTGGAGTTCCTGTTCAGACAGAGGACGGGGTTGGGTGGCTCAGCAGCATTTCCACCCTCTGTATCACAGGTGCCAGGCAAATATCTGTTTTTCTTGGTGACGAAGGTCAGAGAAAAAAATGTGGTGGATCCTGAACACTTGGTACTG